GAGAGAGAGAGAGAGAGAGAGAGAGAGAGAGAGAGAGAGAGAGAGTAGGTGAGTAAAAGAGACTCCATGTAGCCCCACGGGAGACAGACACTGGAGACAGAACTTTACCTAGTAAGTCACAGCCACGTGGCGATACACAGATTAATGGAGATGGGCTAGTTTAGGATGTAAGACCTAGCCAATAAGAAGCTAGAGCTAATAGGCCAAGCCGTGATTTAATTAATACAGTTTCTGTGTGATTATTTTAGGCCTGGGAAGCTGGAAACTAACAAGCGGTCTCCGCCAACAGATCCCTTCCTGAGTGTGGCCTTCTGTGGATACAAAGACGGGTCTTTTCTAGAAACCAAGGAGTTCTCAGCCTAGCCTGGTGACATTCTACTCTCTTGGCTTCGGTGTTTGGCATGTCTTGAGGGATTGGTCCTTCCCTAAAACCTCTCTATTCTCTTTGTGTCTGGAAACATCTCTCTGGCCAGTGGGGAGACTTAATTCCCAACTACCCAGTTCACCCCCAAAAGAGTGGCTCTACCTCAGCAGTGGGCATAACACTCCCACCAGGGTGTCCCTCACTTACTCGCGTGGCTCCCAGGAAGCCTGCATTCTCTAACTCCCATAAGGCTAAGACAGAGTTCAATGGACCTTCCAGAAACTTCTGCACTAACTCTACAGGCCCCTCCAATTCCAAACTTCACCCAATGTCTTGGGAAAAGCAAATGTCTGTCTGGGAGCCCCAACCCCACAAGGTTCCCACACCAGTTCTCCAAGATGGCCAGGAAACCTCGGGTTTTAAGTTCTTTTTCAAATCCTCCAGCCTCGGCTCTTATGGTCACAACCAACACCTATAGATGGCCAAAAGCAGGTGCCGCTTACGACCTTCGAATGACTCTGGAGTCTCATCTGCTCTCTTCCTCCCTCGTGCTCCAGAGCCTCTAGAGTAGCGGTTCCCAATCATCCCAGCACTGCATCCCTTAAATGCAGTTTCTCATGCGATGGTGACCCCAACCATAAAGTTGTTTTCATTGTTACTTCATAACTGTAAGTTTGTCACAGTTATAAACCGTGATGTAAATATATGATATATAGAATGTCTGATATGTGACCCCTGTGAAAGGATCATTGGACCCCTGAGACTCTGCTCTCAGTCTTGAGTCCCAGCCCTCTTAAGACAGGGCACAGGCAGAGACAGGGGAACAGGCAGAGGCTGTGAGTTCAAGGCTAGGAGCCTGAACTGTACACCAGCCCTGGCTTTGGGCATGGTCAGCGCTGCTAACTCATCTGCCACCACCAAGTTATTTAACGGACTTCTGAATTCCACAAGGTGTTTGTGATCTCTAAGACTGTTCCAAGGCTGAGCTGAAAATACTTTGGAAGGGAATTGCACAAGAGGTCTGAGCCTTACCTCTTCATAAAACTTCACCTGGGGCACGGCTTCGTCGATTTCATTCAAACAGAAGTCTTTAAATAGCAGAAAGCCTAAAGGGAAAGACGAAAAAAATGTCAACTGGGGAGACGAGGAAATTTTAGCCCACAGGGCTTCTTTGAAATAATGTGTCTGTCACTCAGCATCTCCCTCCCCTACTTCAGGGGGAAAATGGGGAACTGAAGAGGGTGAATCCCCAGAGGAATGGCTGGCTTGGTATTTTTTCTCTCTGCTTACAGCCCCTCCCATTGTCACCAACCCCTGAGACCGCAGGTCACTATAGTGAGCTAACAGTCCCAGGGGACAGAGACGCAGAGGATAGAGTTCACGTGACCACCACAGCATTCTTGTGGAAACAGGACGCCTGGGGCTGGTGGAGCTTCTGGGCCCTTCTGGGCCCTTCCTCACATCCTAGCAAACACATGGTATGCAAGCTACTCATTGACAAGGAATTCTTTCTGAGGACACCAGGACCACCTTAAAGCCAGCCTAGAACACCCCAACTCCCTGCCCCACACACAAATAATTCTGAGACCCTTTATTCCTTCCAGTCGCTCCAAGAGCCACCTTTGCTCTGAGGTATGCCCAGGATGAGACACAACACTAGAGTCTGTATGGGGGTTACATGTCCCTGTCTGTACAAGATTGCTCAAAGGTGAGTGTGCAGGTAAGTGTGTGCATGCATGCAGGCTAGATGTCAGTATCAGGTTCTCCTGGTAAGCTCTGGAATCTACCTGTCTCTGCACACCCAGGGCTGGAGGGAGAGGCGAGCACAGACACACCTGGGTTTTCAGATGGGCGCTGGGCATCCAAACTGAGACCCTCAAGCTTGCAAAGCCAGCTTATCTCACAGAACTGCGCTGAGCACTTCCCAGCCCAGGAGCGTGCATCCCTTTCCACAGCTTCCCCCACAGGCCCCAGGCCTCCAGCTACTTCTCTGAGTCTCAAGCCTCCTGTCCTTCACAACCAGGATAGATAGCAGAAGCCTCACAGTCGAGCCTGAATAAGCCAAGTACATTGAGGGTGGAGACGCAAGAATCAAAAACTCCAGAAGGTTGGGGGCCATGAAGATGGCTCAGCCAGTATCTGCCTGCCAAGCCAGGAGAGGCCATTAGATCCCCTGGAGCTGGGTGTGAGCTGAATAGGACCTAGGTGGAAGCTGTCAGGGGTTAGCTCTGGCATCTAAACATCCTTGGCCTCTGGAAGGGCAGTGAGCACTCCTAACCAACCAGGTCATCTCTCCATGCCCTGAACAAAACTCTCGTAAATCAGGGTTTTTTTTTTTGTTTTTTTTTTTTTTGTTTTTTTTTTTTGTTGTTGTTGTTGTTTTAATGGAAACACCTTAATAAAGAGTGGGCAAATGTCTGGGCATGAAGGTTGAACACTTTGGGTATAGACACATAGGAAGGTCTCCTCCATGTGCCTGCCATTGTCTCAATGTAAACTATGTACTCGGAGACTCCCCTTCCCAACCGCTAGGATAGCCAGGTTACCAAGACCATGCTCGGTATAGAGCTCCCACATTGCTGGGGAGGGCTGGTAATGCCACTGCTCCTATCTCTGAATCCATAGGCAGATTAAATTTTATTTTTAAAAATACAATATAGAGGCAAGAGGTGTCAATCTTGCACCCAGAAGGCTGAGGAAGGAGGACTGCTAGAAGTCTAGACCAGCCTGAGCTATATAGTGAATTCTAGACTAGTCAGGGCTACAGGGTGAGACCATGTCTTAGAAATAAAATAAACAACAACAAAACAGTGGCAGGGGTAAATAAAAAAATAATTTATGATTATATAATTTCCTGGAGGAGGCATTTTATTATGCTGGAGAGATAACCAAAGCCTTGGCTTTGATAATTAAAATTTTTATATGGCCAATAATAGAAACAAACTCTATCAGTATGGCTTTCAAATATGCATCCCTTATGTAATTAGCAGTTTCCTAACCAATTGAGATGGTTGAGTTTGGCACCAAAGAAAAAATAAACTTTGAGTACATTACATCCTTGAGCAAACACAAAAGGATAGAATTGCTAACATAAGCTAACTGGAGTGCCTTTCTAAGCTCCATGGCCATTACCCTGACACCGAGTGAGGAGAGGAGTCACGTGGCCAGCCAAGACCCCGTGCTCCGAGAGTTCTCTGAAAGGCCTTCAGGAGGCCGTCTCTCCACACTTCAGGAACCATTGAGCGAGCACACACCCTGGTGCTCTGCTCTGCCACCTCATCAAGTGCCTTCAAACAAATGTCTTCATGCCAGCCTCATGACTGCATCACGGGAACTATCGGGGAATACCGCACATGTGTCATGCCTGCTTCATCCAGGTGAGTGAGGTCACAAAACTCACACCGTCTTCCTCTAGCACTTCTGCACAGTTCAACTTAAAAAAAAAAAAAGCCTTTGGCCCAGTGAGATGGCTCAGTGAGCAAAGGAGCTTCCCACCAAGCTGACAAGCTGAGTTTGATCCCCAGGACCCATGTGGCAGAAGGAGGGAAGCGGCTCACACAAGTGACCTTTGACCTCCACAGGCGCACCTTCACACCCACACAAATAAATTATGCAATTTTAAAAAGGAAAGGGTCTTGGATCAGTCCCCAGAGGGTCTTCACCACTAAGGTTCTTTTTTTTTTTTTTTTAAGTATGAGAAAGTGAGCTGAACATAGTGGGATGCATGGTTGGACATCGGTTTAAGTAGGAATATGGTGTGAAGACCAGAGGACGGTGAAACAGACGCAAGTTGGCAGCAGGAGACACTGCAAGCTTGCAGCACCCAGACAGGAGATGCCAGAAACTCAATGGCCCAAGAATAAAAATAAAATTATCCAAAGGGCAGACAGTGAACACTCACCATAATCATGTTGTGCAGAATAACAAACGGCCCTGGTAATAAAATCATCTGTATTGCATTTTCTTACAATGTTTCAAAGGTTAAGGATGCCAAGAAGCTCCAGATTCAACATGAGAAATGTACAACCTAAAATACTGCCTTGAAAGAGCAGTGTCTGTCTAGAAACTGGGCTATAATGCAATAAAAGACTTCACTGTTGTGCAATGAGATCAACTAATGCAATAGATTCATGTCAAGCTTTGGTGCACAGCACCATGAGAAATTACACGGCCGTGCAGCTCATCAGCACCAACCAGTGCATCATTCGGGTACAGCCTAGCCAGACATGTGTACGACTCCTCAGTTAAAAGTTACAAAGCACCAACGCACACAGCCGAGAAAACATAAGTAAGCAGAGAGTAACGCCATGCTTGTGGATAAATGGACCCTAAGAAGACTGTGACTCCAGATGATGACTGTCATGGGAGAACGAAGGAGAAAGGCTTTGCAACCTTTGAGGTTAGCCAAGGTCACTAACAGCCTACCCATCTGTAGTAGTAAAACAGCAAAGTGCACTTCAGTATGCATTACCGCTTCTGTTAGGAGCTGCAAAAGAAGCCTGAGTATTTGGAGAAACATGCCTGCAAGCCATGTGTCCGCGAAAAGCCTTGCACGTAGACCCTTGGAAGAACTCTGACAATTCCACTTCCATACAAAAATATGTGAGTAAGAAGACTTAGCATTTCCACCCCAAAACACATAATACTGGAGCGTGGAGCCATCTCCTGCATCGTCAGCCATGGAAACAAGGGGTCAGAATCTTGTCCCGCATAGGGGATAATAAAGGGAACCTTAAACAGTAAATGGAAACACAAATTAATAGGAGAATAAATAAGGCACACATCCAGCCATCAGATACGGCACTGCACGCCCAGCTGCTGCGGGCCGATCTGACTAGTCCATGCTGTCAGTCCTCAGTGGGCCTCTCGATTCACCTTGGTTCCAACAGGAGCCAATGAATATAAAATAAACACATGGCTAACTGCCTCCCTGACGCACTTCCACGCCTTTTAAGCTTAAAAGTTTTAGTCACATTTTATTTATTTATTTATTTGTTTGTTTATTTATTTATTTATCTATTTCCATGTGTATATAGTGTGTGTGTCCACGGCAAGCATCTGGAGGTCACAGGAGTCAGTTGGGTCGGTTCCTTCCTTCAAGCAGGTGAATGCTGAGGCTAGAACTTGGGTTATCAGGCTTGGTGGTACGTACCTTTACCTACTGAGCACCTTACTGCCCTCCTTGGTAAACTTTTTGTTGTTCTTTTATCTTTGTTTAGCTTTTTGAGACAGGGTTTCTTTGTATAGGCTTGGCTATCCTTGAACTCTCTCTGTAGACCAGGCTGGCCTCAGACTCAGAGATCCACCTCCCTCTGCCTCCTGAGTGCTGGGATTAAAGGCGCAGGACGCCATAATTGTTCATGGTAGGGGGGCTTGTGTTTTTTTTTTTTTTTTTTTGTTTTTTTGCATGTGGACTTAAACCTTCACAGAAAAAAAAAAAAAACCATATTGAGTGTACTGCCACTGAAAGCAAGAGCAGCCATGTCACCTGAGTTGAAATCCAGGCTCTGTCTGTTCCCAGGAAGCCCACACGCCCTAGGAGGAGCTACAGGATCCTTTCTTTTCTCACAAAGTGCCATGAGTCCTGGGAACAGAGGGCAAATGACTATCTAGATATGAGGCCAAAGGAAAACCCATGGAACAGCCTTGTCTGGAAAACAAAACAAAAGTGGAATGGGAGGAAACTTCTAGAACACTGGGGAGGGAAAAAAATTGCACCCACCCCTTCCAATAGCTGTATTCCTTTCGGCTGTATAAAATGATCTTGTCACAACTGGCAGAATGTGCAGTGAAAGTCTCCAGTCCTAGAGCAGGGCGGTCTCCTCCAGGCCACAATCCTTCACCAGTCTCAGCCCATGCTCCTTGTCTTAGGGTCTCTGTTGTTGTGAGAAACAACTAAACCAAAACAACTCGGGGATGAAAGAGTTAATTCAGCTTACAGCCCCACAGAGCAATGACACTGGAGAAAGTCAGGACAGGAACTCAGACAGGGCAAGAACCTGGAGGCAAGAGCTGCAGGGGCCAGGGAGGGGTGTGTTTACTGGCTTGCCCCCGGGGCTTGCTCAGCCTGCTTTCCTGTAGAACCCAGGACCACCAGATCAAAGAT